TTATTGTAATTAGAAGATACTTAATGTTCAAAGTGCTGCGTAACGATTTAATTAATTAAAAGTAGAGTAATTGTTCATTACCAAGTCCTACAGTTTATAAATGCACTTCAAGTAGTTCGGTCTCAATAAATAAAAAAAATTTATTGTTCTAATTACAATAATTTTATAAGTCTAATTAAAAATCCCTTCACAAGTTAATTTTTGATATTCATTGTTGATATTCTTTTGTTTTGTTATTGTGGAAAATATTTAGGTATTAGATTAAGTATAAATGCTACTGTAAAACGTGATGATGAATTATAGTTTTTTTGCGTCTATCTTAAGTCATCTAACTCTGGCATTTCTATTAGTAGTAGTTCAAGTTCAACTATTAAACTGCTGGCTCACAAAATCCTGTATTTAATTACGTATTACGTAATGTCAATATGTGACTTTGAACTTGATAAATCACCTGAGTGGTGATAATTATACCGATGCTTTTAGCGAACAGATTTAATTTAAATTTCAGAAATGGCGGGTTCGTCGCTTGACGCACCGTTGTAGTCTCCGCGTAATAGGCCTAGAAAAAATTGTGTACCGGACGCAATTAAAAAGTTTTTGAACTTCCGTCTTTGCAGACATGTTCCCAAAGGTTCACTCTATAACTTCATTACAAAAAATTGCCAAATTTTTCTCTGGCAGAGTAACAAAATGAAAGAATAAAATGGTGTTCGAGAACATACAAGAGTATTTAACAGTATTGTCTATCTTAAAATGTTCTTATATTTTTATAATACATTTTTGGGGCTTGTGCTTATGCAGAGATGTTCTTAAAGCATCACTGTGTAGATGTATCGTAAAAAAATTTCAGCCTTAACTCTCGTTAGGTGATGATTATTATTTCTTTATTGAAATATGTTTTACATCAATTTATTTCTAATCATAATGGTGTTGCAATTAGTAATGTGTTAATTTACACTTTATTTGTTATCTTGCCGACTACATATAATTAGGTAGTCGAAATTAATTAGTTCTCACTTAAAGTCTTCTTTGTTTCTGTTGATACAAGAACGTATACATCAAACTACTTAACAAAATTAAAATTTACATTGGACAGGCGTGACGCAGTCACAGTAAAGTAAAGGCATTAGTAAAAATGTTACTGATTTTGATGTATATTGTTTAAAACATAACCACAACATGGATCCAAATTATACGAGGGTGGATTGATAAGTTTCCGGCCTAACCAAGAGATGACGCCACTAGGCCTACCTTGAGGTGACATTCTATAGTACCATCCTTGGATAGCTTGTAGCTATAGTTTCAGCCCGATCTCCTTGCTAGTGTAGGTTTGACAGCACGCTGAACAAGACGCCTCTGTGGTTTTCGTAAAAATGGAAAAGCAGGAAAATCGTGCTGTCATCAAATACTTTTATTTGAAGGGGTTAACGCCGAAGGAAATTAAAAAAGAGATGGACTCAACACTGGGGACATCCTCCCCGTCATATTCAACCGTTAAGCAGTGGGTTTCCGAGTTTAAAAAGGGTCGTGTGAGCACCTCTGATGGGCCTCGGTCAGGACGCCCCGTTGAGGTCACAACTCCAGATATGATCGAAAAAATTCATCAAATAGTGCTGGGAGACCGCAGATTGAAAGTGCGTGAGATAGCTGAGACCTGTAAGATGTCATATGAACGTGTGCAACATATTTTGCACCAACATTTGCATATGGAAAAGCTCTGTGCAAGATGGGTGCCGCGTTTGCTAACAGTCGACCAAAAATTGATTCGAAAAAACATTTCTACCGCAAATTTGTCATTGTATAAGCGTAATCCAAGCGAATTTTTGCGTCGATTCGTAACCGTTGACGAAACGTGGGTCCACCACTACACTCCTGAAACCAAAGAACAGTCTAAACAGTGGATTGGACCAGGGGAACCAACTCCAAAGAAGGCAAAAACAATTTTTTCGGCGAA